TATTGGATGATATTATAAACGAGGACTCGTATGCGGACATCAAACGAAGAGCTATGGAAAGACAGAAATGGAGAACATGGGTGCCTAGAACCTGCCCTCGGGCAGAACACCAATGATGATGATGAAGCAGATTATAGAAATTGCTGATTGAGAGAAGATTTAACTAATAAAATGTTAAAGAAAGGTAACTACACAGATGATAGATTTGATAGACTTATGACTCAATTTTGTCCATCAGAACTCAACTTTCATGCAATAAAAATGTCATATTCGCAATCAGGATCAAAAACTAAGTCGACTGACGTGTATTTCTATTATTCGACTGCTTTAGTTTTTGTCTAATTTTCGCACTGAAAAACTACCGAGATTTTCACCACAAAATGAAAATCAAGTAAACATTTCGAAATACACATTAGTCGACTGAGTTTTTGATCTTGATTCCGATGATATTTTTATTGCATAACGGTTGAGTTCTGTTGGAGAAAATTGAGAATTACGAGCAGAACGCTGACGTTTCCGTTACTGATTTAGAAAAAATGAATTTTCTCAAAAACGGAAAGTAATTTCGAAAAAAGCTCGACGTACGTTTGCAATCGGGCTTCTAGAGAACCTATAGATGTGCAAGTGAAAGTTCCAATGACGCACACAAAAAGCTTTGCAAAGTTGTTTACTCGCACCTAAGACGGTCAGGTAGCGACGTCTATGATTGACAAGCTCTAAAGTTCGAAACTGATCAAATATCATTTTTCTATTCAGTTTTAAATGCTGAGTCAGAAAAAGATAGTTTGAAAAGTTTGAAACAGATAGCATAGAAAAATAAGACGAAAATTCAAATTTTTTCAAACTCGAAGGATTTTGTGCTATGAAAAAGTTGTTTTCAAAAATTGAAAACTACATTGCTGGAAAGCTGTATCAAATGGTGTATAATAAATCCGAAAAAGAAATCTTACTTTAACTTTGAACTACGCGCGCCCTACTATGATCTTTAATTAACGTAACTGTCATTATTTGCGGTACAAATGTTTTGCAAGTATCTGTTATGGTAATTAAGTCTTACCGTTCTGATTCAATTGACCCTTGACTGTGAGATTAATTGTAGTTCATCTCCTATACTGGTCGATAATTTTATTGTTCCGTCGCTTTTTCAGCTTGAATACAGAAAACCGTAATAACATTTTCCATTTGCTTCTTAAAATCCTCTTTCTTCTGTTTTATTAAACACATAAAAATGTAATCTCATATATTTCTTATGTTTGTGTGACAGTTGAGCAGTTTAGTAGTTTATTATTTGTTAGGTGGGTGAAATATCTAAGCTTGTTATAGTAAGTTGAGAAGAATTTGGAACTTTACTTTATAACCTTTTACAGTTCGTTGACATAAACGTTTAGGTTACAGTACACTCGTAATAGAAATTTCTGAAATTTTGTTATTGAATTTGTTATTTTAAAAATTGTGAAGTATTTGTTTTAGTTTGCTATTTTGCAGATGTTATTTATCCTTATTAACTTTCTAGATAAAATACGTTTTTTTATTTTTACAAATGGTTTAAATAAAATACATGGAGGTATCATCAACAACGCCAGAAAAGTGAGTATAAGCGTTTTTCTCTTTCATATTGCGTTATTGATTGATTTTTTTCCACCATATGTCATTTAGATCTATTACTATTTCTGATCATAAGTTTGTTGGATCTTTGCTAGACATCACCCGTTATGAACAGTGTTTTTCTGCTATTTGGATTGCTTCACCATCTATGAAAAATGACGAATTTCATGTACAACTAAAGCATATCTTCGATAGTTTATTGGTATTCGATGATCTTTATAAATTTATTCATTATTTGGTTAAAACTAATGAGGGAGTACCTGTGATATTGATTATTTCCCATCAGATAGCGCAAGAGATTGTTTCGCTTATTCATGAACGATCAGAACTTCTATTCATTTTTATTTATTGTCGAACTGAACAAGAAAAACAAGAATGGGTAGTAAAACATTACGAGAAAACAGCCAACAAAATTTTTACCGATAGAAATCTTCTTCTACATGAACTCTATAAATTTTTTCTTTAGCTAGAGAATATTTTGATAAAGCAATTGAATATTTTAAGAGTCACAACGATAATCGTTTATGTGGTGTAAGCGCTACAGAAAATTACACTGTCACAATTCGGCATAGTTCTTCGCTGAGTTTGTCATTATCAACCATTCTAGACACAATAGAATTAATAGCAAAATCATTAATAGTCGAGCATTCAATTCCCTGGAAAATATTAAATAACATCGGTGTTTCATGTTATCGTTCTGGTGATTATGCAAGTGCATTCAATTTTTATCACGAAGCTTTAAGCATAGCAGAACAAGACCAAGAACGTTTTAATCTTGCAGATCGGTCAGCGGTTTACAATAATTTAGCTGTTATTTATTTTAAACAAGAAGAATATTTGAAAGCTTTGGAAGGTTTTGATATAGCTATTACAAATTGCTTTCCTTCAGTACTAGTACCATATTGCTGCATGAATGATTATATAGAAAATAAATCTAAAGTATTAAAAATGATGCAACGAAAGCAAAAATGGACGGAGAAATTAGGACAAACCAATGACGAACATGCAGGTAAACAAAGAAACGGTGACGGAAATACTTTTTTTATATTAGATCCTTTGTTCTTGTGTTCGATAAACTCGCGCTAGGTCACTTCTGTAAGTCAGAGACATGCTGCCACTGGGTCACTGCCCAAGCGTCAAAAAAAATCGAGTATACTCCGATTCATCTAGATTACTAGATTTTTACTCGATTGCAACTACTGTGTAACGACAGTGGAAATCTAGTAATTGGGCGATTACTAGATTTTTTCTAGTTGCAACTATCGATTTAGCGCATGATAATCGATCGATTTAACTATTGCTAGATGCACCTGCAGACGCATCTAGTTAAAAGTCCCTTTTCCAACTAGTAATCTAGATGGCAACTAGTCGTGTATCGCTCGATTATAGACGAAATGTATCTAGATTTTTCCCATAGGTGATATTTGCTTGAGTGACCTACTGACATCACAGTTTCTCAGTGGATAAAACAGGTCCGTTTAGATGGGTCGCTCAGTAGGTCACTGATCTACTACATCTTTTACAGTGTAGACACGAGTTTCGCGATTATATCACGTTCTTTATTTACACAACAATGTGTTCGGGGAAATGTGTTTCGCGGTGAGTTATTGTTGCTCCCTAAAAGATACCCGCAACCTCAAAACAGAAGAACATCTATAGATAGTTCGCACAATTATTACGTTGTAGCTAATGCTGGTCGCTGCGCATGCTAGTCGCTTTTCAAAGATTTCTAGTGCGGCAATATTAATAGAAGTAGGCAACGACTTTTTAATAATTTAATAACTATTAACATATCTGTATTAGCTGTGTTATTAGTTACAGCTGCATTATTAGTTATTCTATGTGCGTCGATCAAGTGCATATGATTGTTGACTAATCCAGATGATAAACAAAAATCTAAGATAGAATAGTTAAAGTAAATAACTAACTAGATCGCTATTTCTCTAATAATAATGCAAAAAAGATATTATAATTTAACTAAAAACATAGTCTCAGATATTCTCCTTGCTTTTCTTAATAGATTAAAATATCAAACTATAGCCCTTAGCAATTCCTACAATACAACCTTTCATTATAGTCATTCTACAAGTCCAACCAACAATTCTATCAGCCACGATGACGAACAGCAAAGAAGAAACAAACAATGTGTTACCAATAGAAATGAAAGTACCACCAAATATAGATTCATGTTCATTATTAATTATAAGTTTATTTCCAACTGGTATACTATTTCCTTTTGTATTAAAACCACAGATTAATATTGAAGAGTATACGGATGTTTTATTATGTTTAAAACAAATTTCAAAAATGGATGATAAAAAGATTTTTTTTATACTATCCGACATATGTTATGAAAATGTTTTACCATTAATTCACGATCAAAAACAAATAGTGGCAATTTATTTAGACAAATCACACATAGATAATGAAAACGAAAATGAACTAAAGAAAAAATATATTAAATTACGCCACGTATCCGATAATCTTAAATTAATTTTCGACAAAGTGTTTAATGATATACACCGAACATATACACATTCTGGTAAATCATTTCGATACAGTGAACATATAAAATATTGTACAACGTTATATAAAAAATCAAACAATATTGAACATTTATCATTAAACAAGGATCAAAAACGATTTATATGACTTCAATTTTTATTTGAAGCTATAGTTCATAAATCAGAAATATCTCGAAGGAATTATGTTAAAATGCTGCAATTATGCACATATAGATATAGAAATGATAATAAACAGCTACAGGCAATTGATGAATTTGACAAAAATTATAGATCTTCTCAAGCTATATGGTGGTATACTCATACAGATTATACATTTATTCGACAATTATTAAATGAAGCTTTCTGTACACGTGATATTAATATTGTACTTCATTTTCAATATTTTATTGTTGATCTTTATAAACAACTACAAGATTTATCGAAGTTGATAATCAAACCATGTGTTACTGTATTTCGAGGACAAACAATGCAGAAGAACGAACTAGATGAATTAAAAAATAATGCTGGTGAATTTATGGCAATTAATACATTTATGTCGACAACATCGTCGATTGAAGTTGCTCGTTCTTGTATAACTGCTGATGATATGTCAGCTGATGAACCTGTTCTATTCGAAATTAACATAAATGAAGATACGAAAACTTTTGCTGATATTACTGATGCCAGTTATTTGAAACAAGACGAAAGAGAATATTTATTTTCAATTGGAACAATATTTCGAATAGAATTAATTCAGCAATTAGTTGACAATATATGGTATATTAAATTAACTTTAACAGACGACTTAAGTACATTAATAAAAGATTTAAAAAATGAATTTGATCCTAAACACTCGATGTCACTATTTACTCTAGGAATGGTTTGGACAGAAGTAGATGAATGTGACCGAGCATTATATTATTATTTTATATTATTAAAAAACTGTACATCTGACAACGAGAAAATAATTATTTACAATAATATAGCTCTAACGTATCAACGACAAGATCAGCCTCAACAGGCAAGAAAATATTTTGATGAAGCAATAAAATTAGCAAAAAATCGTTCATCATCGTTTTCTTTATCGTCGTCATCACCTGACACAGAGGATTCATTTGATATAATAAATGATATTACTTTAAAGCGTCCAGTCGTAAATACGTCAACGCTGAGCATGTCATGCCATAATTTAGGTTGTGTTATGTTTGAAGAAAATAATTATGAAGATGCTAGAAACAATTTTGATCAAGCTCTAAAACTATTGTCAGACACTGATTATATTCAGCATGCAGACTTACTCAATAATATTGGCTGTGTGTATTATCGACAACAAAATTATAAACTTGCAATGGCATATTTTCAAGAAGCACACAAAACAGCTCTTAAAGTTCAAAGTCGTTTATCAGTTATGAGTGATTATTTAAATAATATGTCAGTTACTGTGAGAAAGTTACAAGGGGGTAAAGCGGATTTTTCGGACTTCTAGACATACGCAAATGTAGAAAAACTCGGAGACCTTCTGAGAAGCTAGAGAAACTAGCGAAGTCCATGGGAGTACAACAAAATCAGAAAAAATTCAAGAAAACGCGATAAAATCCACAAAACCTAAAAATCAATGGGAAATGCGGATTTTTCTGGTATTTTAGGGCTCTTAGACGTACAGAAACGTAGGGGTACTTCCGTACAAGTCTGCCTAGATTTTTCTTTTACTCTATCAAGTTTTCTTCGATTTTTTTCGGATTTTGTTGTACTCCCGTAAAAATCCTGAAAAAATTCAAAAAATTCCAAGTCAAAAAAAGTCGGTATTTTTGGTATTCGGTATACCGATACCGGTGCATACCTAATTATTCCTCCCACAAAAACGTTTTTTATCAATTTCACACTATCTCAAAGAGAAATTTTGTTTTACACTCCCCTAATGTTCTGCTCCTATTTGCGCCCTGCAAGGGCATCCTCTTAGATGCTAAAACCCGTTTGACCTCATATTTTACCGATCGATGGGGCTAATTAATGTAACAAAAGCGTAACAGAATTCGTGCCCATACGACTTCCTTGGGGAGTTATGATCGATTTAGTGAATTCAAGTGTTTCATGTAGCTATTGTAATGCACTAATCTAACATGTTAAAGAGCTGAAACTTGCAGAAATGGTGTCTCTAGGTGTAGTTCCTATACTGGCGTTTTTTCAGACTTTAGTCTTATGCCGTTCTTGAGAAATGGAACTTTTTTGATTTTTACAAGAGGTTGGCACTTCCTTGCCACCTACTAGCGAGAAAATTCTTTTTCGCTCTCAAGCCTGTTTTCGTATTCGTAAAGTTAGTAAAATCGTTTATCATCTCTGTGCGGATGCTTTGGAAGTGTTTCCACTGTTGAATTAGACGATCACATTTTTTTTCCTTTTGTGGGCCGTAAGACAGCATCGAAGCCCCGTAAAAAAACAGAAAACTTCCATTTCTCATGAAAAGTATAAGACTAAAGTCTGAAATTTTCACAGTATTTGAACTACACCTACAAACATCGTTCCTACAAGTTTTAGCTCTTTAACACGTTGGATTAGTGCATCATACTGGAAACACGCAAAACTTGAATTTCACTAAATCGGCCATAACTCGCGAAGGAAATCGCATGGGTGCGAATCCTGTTAGGCTTTTGTTACATTAATTAGTCCTATCGAGCAGTAAAATATGAGTTCAAACGGATTTTAGCACCTGGGAAGGCTCTCTCGTCCGTAAGTAGACAATTTTGTGCTTATTTGATTTGATTTGTTGTATTTTACTGTAAGTAATATATATGTAATAAACCGATGACACAAATTATTGTTTTTATCTTTTTAAAGTCAGCAGATTATTTATTCTCAAATATGACAAACGACTCGCAAGCTTGTATTCCTTAACTGCCAGGCTCTACTACTCTGGCAAAAAGGAGAGTTGCGTACAAAAATGACCCATATAGAAAAGAGGTTCATTCCCAAACTCCGCACATTTACAGCCACCCACCGACTTTGAAGATTCTTTGATCTCAATTTGAAATTAATTAAAACTGTACGGAGTTCGGGAAGTAATGACAAAATACTACCCAAACGCAAACAATAATTCGAAGAGTTCTTCAAGTGGAGATACACACATGCAGACATATCTTCAACTGAGACACTATTCACTGTACTTTTAAAGTCAAAGAAAATAATGTGAGTTTCATCATTTGCTTCGAAAGTTTATATGATACCTAGATTGACACTCTGCTTGTTCTCATCTAACTATTCTTAATCTAGAATTTGTCTTGTATTTCTGAATTCGTAGTTCTAATGAGTCAAAATAGAAGATGTGTGAATATCTGCAGTTTGAACTGCTTCTTGCGTTTTCTAGATTATACTACATATATTCGATATATGGCTGGCTTGGTGAAAATAATACCGGAAAGGTATGGTCATTTCATGACTATCAGTCGATATCAAAACGGTGAATATCGTTTCTTTTCGAACAGGTCTCGTCTAAGCCGTGATTATCAATCATTATCATCATTACTTGATGTTAATCAGAATTTTATTACTGTCTTTTGTATGACACCAAATCATAAGAATATTGAAATGGAAAAAAGTCTAAAACAACTTTTCTTAGTTGTGATTTCATTTAATGATCCACTAAAATGCCTGGCTTATGTTAACGATAATGAAGGTAAATCATCATTACTATTGATTTTATCAACTCAAAAAGCAATAAATATGATTCCATTGATTCACGAACAAACAAATATTCTTAGTATTTATGTTTTATGTCAAAGCGAACAAGAACAAACAGGTTTAGTGGATAAAAATTATACAAAAACTCAAAATAAAATATTTATTGATACAACTTTACTTTTTGAAAAACTAAAAGAATTTACTTTGGAGCACAATACAGAAGATAGTACACTAGAATCATCATTAAGTTGTTTTGATCTAGAAGAAAAACATAGTCCAATAAGAGATTTAAGTCGACAATCGCTTGAATTCGTTTGGTTTCAGATTATATTTGAAATTTTATTAAAAATGCCCTTACGAGAGGATGCAAAAACAAATATGGTACAAGTTTGTCGTCGTCACTATAATGGTAACAAAGCAGAAAATAAGAATATAACGGAATTTGAATTAAATTATGAATCCAAAACACCAATCGGTTGGTATACAGCTCCATCATTTGTTCATAAATTAACAAATAAAGCGTTAGGTACACAAGATGCTGACTGTTTATTTACGTTTCATTTTATTATTAAAAAACTCCATAATCAATTACTTGAGTTACATACACAGCGTAGCCAACCGATAACGTGGCCTGTCTATCGCGGTAAAGTTTATCGAACTGCGATACTTCATACTATGCAAAACAGTAAAGATGGTCTTGTTTCAATGAATAATTTTTTATCTACAACAATTGATCGTAATATTGCAGATGTTTTTAATGCGAGAGATACCCTACAACGACCAGGATATGAAAAAATCTTCTTTGAATTTTATATTGGTAAGTCTGTTATCACCAAACCGTACGCTTTTGTTAAAACTGTTAGTGTAACACCAGATGAAAATGAAATTTTGTTTTCTGTTGGAACTGTATGGCATATTAAATCAATTGATCAAGATGAAGATAAAGTTTGGATTATTAAATTAGAAGCAAGCGAAATAGACGATCATCACTGTGTTGAATTAACAACATATCTGAAGGAACAATTAGGTGAAACAACAAGTCTATTAACATTAGGTAACTTTCTTACTGAGATAGGCGAATATGATAAAGCTGCACTCTATTATGATCTATTAATTCAAGATTTACGGGAAGATCATGAAGATAGAGGCACAGCTTTCAATAATCTTGGCTGTCTTTATTACGAACAAGGTGCATATCCTTTAGCTAGAGAATATTTTGATAAAGCAATTGAATATTTTAAGCGTCACAATAACAATCATTTATCCACTGCAATTTCTAAAGCAAATTGCGATGCCGCAATTCGGCATAGTTGTTTCCAACAGTTACTGAGTTCGTCATCATCAACCGTTCAAAAGACAAAAGAATTAATAACAAAATCATTAAATGCTAATCATTCATCTATTGCCGTACTGTTCAATAATCAAGGTCTTTTACATTATCGAAATGGAGATTTCGATTTAGCTCTGAACTGTTACCGTGATGCTTTGAGCATTTTTGAACAAAATCAAGAAAAATCTCGACATTCGGTCGATGTATCAGTTATTTACAATAATATAGGTGTAGCAAAATTTAAACAAGAAAAATATCAAGATGCATTTGATCATTTTGCAAAAGCGATTGAGGTAGGAATCCAATATCGTCCATTAACACATTCATGGATAGCCGATTATGTTTATAACCAACGAGTAGTATCACAATTAATATTAACCAAACATAGTGAGTCATTCTTGACAGGTTGTGAATGTGAATCTAAAAGCGATAAACATTAGTTTGATAGGTATCAGTTGAGGTTTATAACGTGAGAAGCAGAAGTATGAGTGTTATGATAATAAAGCAGACCCTGAATAGTTTTCGCGCGAAAATAAATAAATAAATATGTAATGAAACGAGAAATTTTACAGATTTTGTTTTCTATGGGAAATTCCACACACCTGCTCTCAGTTTTTACAAGACTAAAAAGAAGGTGAGTACACTTGGTTCGAGAGTTATCTAACGGAGAGAAAACAAAGAGTGAAAATTAGTTCTTCTTATTCGAATCTAATCAATGTGAATTCTAAGAATATTGGCGATCACCGTTATTTCGATATCGTGTAAATACAAAATTGTTCACCATGAACCGTCGTCGAATTCTTGGGGAAATGATGGAAAATACACGGGAGCCTCTTGTCAAAAACGTCCACATCACCTCGGAAAAACCTGAACATTTTTTTTAAAAATCCGTTGAATTATATAGCATTCGACGCAGATTTTCGTTCTACATCTGAATATGTATAAATGAAGTTTCCACAGTGCATAGAAAAGAAGAAAAACGCCAAAAACTTCGGATTTTCCAAGGTTTAGAAAAGTTTTTCGGAAAATATTTTTCCCAAGTTGTCTTGAAATTCAGCCACTTCCGTCAACTAAACAATTTTTCTGATTTAACAGCTCCATGCAGAATTGAATTATCTATCGATCTCCGCA